ACAATACATGTGACGAAAAATGTCATGTGATATGACAAAATCAAACTCGTTCGTTTACCGTGAAACTATAATCTCTTCGTCAATATGATCCGATCAATTACAAGATATGGAATTGTGTCAATCCCGAATATCGATCATATCTTTCACTCCACTATTAAGTCAATATAAGTCGAAAACTCATTTTCGACTTATGAGTACACCTTGGCCAAGGATTTCGTTATCGACTTAACTGAGTGAAACGCAAATCATAATCTCCTATTATCTAAGAGTGACGAATCCTTTATTGGTCAATCACAACCTTTATACGTTTCTTGACGTACCCAAACGATGTCGTATTAGCGGCCCTTCGCAGAGCAACATCCAACACTGCCAAAGTATGATTGTCCTCATATAAGGTACCATGACGACCTCAAGTCTAAGGGCCAATTCCACTACCAAACGTTAGAGATTAACCACTGACACTCAGATAGTTATATATGTAAAATCTCTCAGCGAGTCTCCAATGTTTTATTCTATAACAAAACATCCACGTGTCATTTAAGTGTCACCACACTTTAACTTGTGAGATCAGCTACTTACTTCACAAGTAAGAAATGTTACACGTGATGGTCTATCCGTAATAACGATATCCGTATCTCGTTATTACTTACGACCACGGACGATTTGAGATTCAATCAGATGTAATTTATATTTCACAATCACAACTCCTTGTGATTAACAAATTACAAAGATTTGAATCTATGGACTCTATTATTTATTTAATTGTCTATTAATTAATAATAGATCTGCCATTAAATTGCATTAATTATATATACAAGTATTTATGTCTAAAGTTGATTGAATTTAGGGATAATACTTACTCTTTGTACTCCTATGTATCTAGTGAACCGATCATTGGTTAAATATAAGATTATTAGTGCTTATAATTTCTTGAACCCCTATGCATCTCGTGAACAAGATCCAAAGCCTGTGCTAAGCAAAGGTCACAAACTAATGCTACCGCAAATACTATTTTTTCGATCAATGCAGTCTTGACGGAAAACGAGAAGAGGGATAAGCTTAGTGGCTTTGATAAGAAAAGTATTATTGATGTTGCCAAGGGGAAAAGGGACCTGTGGCGAGATGGCTGAAGAGGTCCTATGAGCATGAGTGATGAGATTAATATATAGAGCTTAACTTTTGATAAAGACAAGAAACATTGTCATGTTAATAAAGAAAGAACATTAATGTTTTGGTAGATTTTGTACAAAACTATAGGAGTTATCTATATGTTCAAAACAGAAATGTACCTTGTATTATACTAATCACAATCTTGTATGAGTCAAAATGAAAACAAAGGAAGTAAATAAACAAAATTTTCAAACTTTATCGTTTACCAAAGAGAATAAATGCTTTCATTTGGACAAAACAAAAACAAAACACACTAAAATTCAAATGAAACCGTTTCATTAGAACCTACCTTCTCGAAGAGACGTGCTCCTTAAGGAAAATGCTAGCTAGTTGAAAATTTCGAATAAGAATATCGTTACTGTATTTCTACATGTAAACATTGGAGAAGAGCATTACCAAGTAGGCGAAGAAAATCATGACCAATACTGTGATTGGTGATATTAAAACGAATATGTTCATGATTATAGGAAATTAATATACATGATAAAGGACCACTTGTCACAGTTGCAAAATAAGAGCGTCTAAAAGCCGTAAATTTAATAGAAAAACAGAGAGAAAGATTGATACAAGAATACCGATTCTGCCAAGTGAGATTCAGTAAGCAAAAAGGCCATAGAAGTCGAGCGTTGCGTGTTTTGAATTTTGCCTTTCTTCTTTCTTTAGGGTTTGGTTTGGTCTCGTCATTAGTACCCGGGGGGCGGGGGGGGTGAGGAATATGGGGCGGGGAGGGGGGGGGGGGGGGGGGGGGGGGGGGGGAGGGGAATCAAATTTTATAAGGGAGATATTTATGATGAACAGTTTGAGAAAGGATATTTATTAAACAAATAAGTTCTTATGTTTGGACAAACATTTCGAATCGAATCGAGCAGTTCTTCTTAAATTAAATATCCGAACGAGTATCTGAATCAAAAATCGATGGGTTCGATTCGATTCTTGGTGCTTGATCAAAAATCGAATATCTCTAATTTTTTTAATTAATTTATTTTAAATAAGTCAAATTATTTTTTTATAAATAAATTTGTTAACTAGTTAATTTAGCAAAAACTCAACAATATGATTTTTCTATTTCTAATTTTCGGTTCAAAATCAATTTAGTCAAATTGACCTAAATTTTATCTAAATCTGATACTTTACCTTAGTGTCATTTCTATCGTTCCGGAGAAATCAAATTGAAACTCGATAACGTCTCTCTTAATTTTTATGAGCTCGCTATCTTCATCTTCCAGTGATTTTAACAATCAAATCTATGAATAACTCAACAAAGAGAGTTACAAAAAGTCATATAAGATTGGACTACGTTATTTTGTAAAAATTGAGATTGAACATATAATTAGTTGAATTAATGTACTTTTGTAAATATTAAATTTTTTAATTATAATATGAAACCTGAAAATCGAGCTGAACTGAACCGAACCCAACCAAATGGAATCAAACCCGAACGATTCCATAATTAAATTTGGACTAAATTGTTCCACTTACTAAATATTCGAAAATTTTGGGTCCAATTCGATTTTCGTTAAAATCGAACCGATTCGGATCATGTTCAACCCTATCAATTAGTAAACAGTAGCCGAAACCGAGGAATTTCAAGTGGGAAAACAATAACCCACAAATGAACAGTAATCTTGGCATTGCCTCTTTTAAAGAAAAAAGGTGATTTGTGGAAACTATCCAAAATGATCAATTCCATCAATTAAGTGGAAAGTAATGATTGTTTGTTCCAAGATACGAAGGTTAAGGACCATTTGCATAGCAACCTCATAGGTTATATACCATCTGCACAAATTCCCTTAAAAATGAAACCCAAATGCTTAATTTCACTATTTTTCATTAAGTTTATGTATAATTAAAACGAACCATGACAACATTTTTATTACTATCTCGGTCACTATGGTTATTAATCATTTCATGATTGGTCACTCAATTATCAAAGTTAACATAACGTGACATTCAGTGAGTTACCCGAAGCGTGCAATTTCGATATCTTGGATAAAATGTGTGGAGAATTACTTCACAAGTGCCGAAATTTCACCTAATTGGTTGTTTACTTTTATTTTTTGGCTGGATTATTCTTGTTGTACATTGGTGTGTACATAAGGGTGTCCATAATAGACACCTGACGTCCCCTTATTGGAGGGGGTGTCGGTGGACTAGGCGCCCCCTCCACTAGGGAGGCCCCTAGTGTCCATTATGGACACCCTTATGTACACGTCAATGTACGTGTAGCAAAGTTCTTTTTAAAGATGGTGTTAGTCTAAAATGGATTTGGGGATTTTATCAAACAAACAATAATTAGTGCAACTATAATTAATCGAGAAATTAATATCATTTAGTTGACCTTGACATTTAGACTTTAGAAGTAGAAAAATGTTTTTAGTTAATGTGAAGATTTATTTTATTAAGAAAATTTATGATTGAAAACAAGGATCAAATAAGGGGTATATATAATTAGATTTGAGAACTTAAAATATCAACAGAATATATGTGTGCATTCATCAAACTTTGTGAGGATCACGTATAAGACAATTTTACAAGAAGTCTCCCAAATTGATGAAAATTTCTACTCATCATCTCTTAATCAAAAAAATAAAAATTGATAAAGATCAAGAAATAAAAAAAAAATAAAAGAATTTCTTATGCCGGATTTAGTGGCTAAAAGATGAAAGTTCAAATGTTTTGGAAAAAAAATTTAAAACAACAGTATTAATAACATAAAGAAAGAGCATTTGTTCACCACACAAGGCAAAAAATAATGGTTGTACTATATATACATAATGGTTTACATATACATGATATTACTGAGATATGATTGGGTGAAAATTGCTTCGGCCAAATTAAAAAAAAAAAAAAAAACTTCCGACTATCTTTTGACATCTCATTTGTACGTAAACCGTTATTTAACTCCATCATATACAAGTAGCATTATTCAAAAAATAAATATACAGTTAAATTTCATTACTCTAGACTGAATTACCTCGAATGATATCAAATCAAAAATTTAATTTTCAAAATGAACAAAATTAAAGTACATCTACCTGAATGAAATCAAACCAAATTATAGTTACCGCTTTCTTCTCCTATGAAATTGATAGTTTGTGATCTAGGGCGAGGAATGATTATTAGACTAAGACACGAGAAAATGATAGAGAGATGGACTTTCGGATCTTGCAAAGAGGGATCGTTTATTTTCCTCTGACTTTCTCTCTCATTCACGGAGCGAAGAAAGCAAGCTAACTTGAAAACTCATCAGCTTGTCAATTCTTGGTGTAATACTCAATCATTTAAATTTACTCATAATCGTTATACATAAAATTTTCTGCCTACATTGTCTTTTGTCCATCACGCAGAGCCAAAATTGGATTGGATTGTGAAAACGTGTGATTGTAAAGTGAAAATCTTGTATGATGGTCAAAATCATTATATTTAAAAGACAACTATTAGGCGCTTGTCTGGGAGAGATTTTGGCCAAAAATCTTAATTCATTTTGTTTTTGGTATACAATAATTTGTTCAGTGAAGGTGGCAGAAACAATCGACTGAATTAATTAAAATGATCAATGTGCCCTTTCACGTTTAATTTCTTCTGCAGACAGGCATTTCTAGTATTTGTTGGGTTGTGCAATCGATAATGACTGCAGAAATGGGACATACCCTTGTGTCCAACTTTCAAAATGTTGATTAAAATCTTCACAAAATTGAAGCCAAACAGAGGCTAGATATGTGATAACATGTTAAAACGTCCCATTCCAAATAACTCAATGGTGATAACATATTTATACAAATCTAATTTGAAAGAAATTCATGTATGGTAAGAAAGAAAAAGAAAAGAAACCTGGCAATATAGCATAGGGGCCTATCCTATGCTGCATCATACAATTCTTATTGCATCATGTGGTAATCATTTCATGGTCTAAATATCTTTTTAAGCACAAAATTTGAGCTAGCAATTGAGACAACTAGCTAACAGCCTTAACTGAATAATTTTGAAAAACTACAAAGACAAACATATCAAAATACCTGGACTTGAAGAAAAGATCTCTATGAATTGAAGACCAGTACTCCAAGCTTTTCTAGTATGCAACTTAAAAGTTCTAACAATCCTATAAATTCGACTCAATGGTCGAGATGTTGGGAGTTTAGACTGTCAACATTTATAGATCTCGTTAGCTAATGTTGCGGTATTGCAAATTTCCCAACTCTTGGAGAAAGTAGGGATGGTGCATCTACAATAGTCAAAATCTTCGGAATTGACATGCCTCCAGAAATTACAATCTCTGCGCCAATAAAGAAAGTAGAAATAGTATTGCTAAGAGCATGTTTGGCTTTGCTTAAATAGAAAAGTCAGTTTTGTGAATAAAAGTTAACTTTGAAAATCATGCATGCAAAATAAGTGACTTATAAAGTATTTCTGACTTGCTTTTTGGCACAGCCATACATGTAACATAACAAGTCTAACATGCGATTAGTTTGGTTAAGATTCTTACCTATGCCTTCTCGAACAGAGAGATTAGGCCTCATGATATCCTTTGAATTAATGAGGAATATATCTCCAAGATAAAGGTGGTTGGTGGGCAAATAGACACAACAGAGCTCCTCAGCACCTGAATTTTTACGGAGAATAACGGTAGATGTAATGAAGCCAAGTGCATATTCTCCGATACGAGGGTGCTTTACAATGGCTACTTCCTTGAAGGCATGAGAATTCTCGTCTGGACAAGCGATCGCTATTACGATCATCAATAGGCACAGGAAATAATATAATTGTAGTTGATGGTAAATAGAATTACCTGGAGAAATTGCTGCACTAATTTGTTTTGAAGCAGCATAGATATAGCTCATAATCGGCATTTTTCTTATAAGCCATTCTCCCAATCCAAGAAGAGAGGCGCCCAACCACGACGACATGAATACTCCAACCAAGAAAATGAAAGTAATTGAGGTTATAAAACCAAGTCCTGTTAGAAATAACTTTCCAAAATTAGAAGCAGTTGCTATGTTAATAGGTACAAAGTGACATTACAATGGCAGTTCCTGAAGAGAGAACAAGAAAAATACAATATCCACTCATGGAAATTCGATTGTAAAGAGTGTTTGCTTATTGTTCCCTAGAGCGATTTAAATGACACTTCATACTTGTTCTTAAAGTACCGTGGGCAGAAAACGTAGTATTAGATTGCAGCCTTCATATAACTGTACGTCTGTGGAATAGACGCACAAGATCCAATGGTTAACGTACATACCAAAAGTTGTTATTCCCAGATGAGAATAGATCGGGGAGAAGAATCCATCGACGAAATGAATGAACCACCAAGTGGTATAGAATGTGATGGCTATGGGAAGTAAGATGACACTGCAAAAGACGTCAAATCAAATGTTGTAAAGAATGTTGCCAGTATACGAGGAAAGAAAAATAATTCCAAGAACAACCACCCCACAACACCCACCCTGCACAAAAGGAAAAAGAAGGCCAAGACAAAATTAATGATCTAAATAAAGCATTTATCTAATGTATTCACAATAAAATACTCAGTTCTTTATAGTGTGTAAATTAGCCAGGACAAAGAAGGCCAAGACAAAATTAATGATCTCAATAAAGCATTTATCTAATGTATTCACAATAAAATACTCAGTTCTTTATAGTGTGTAAATTAGCCAGGACAAAGAAGGCCAAGACAAAATTAATGATCTCAATAAAGCATTTATCTAATGTATTCACAATAAAATACTCAGTTCTTTATAGTGTGTAAATTAGCCAGGACAAAGAAGGCCAAGACAAAATTAATGATCTCAATAAAGCATTTATCTAATGTATTCACAATAAAATACTCAGTTCTTTATAGTGTGCAAATTAGCCAATAATGCGTCATCAGCCAATGTTTGACTCGTGTTTATACATTTTTATCAAGCTACTTTTTATTTACACATTTTGAGGGATCCACATGTATTATCCACTTATTTACCACTCATTTTTATCTATTTATAATCTATACTGTCTATACAAAACTCCCCAACATGAAGGCCAACTTTCAAATTCATTGTTAACTTCCCATTTCTGAGCTTTTTCCTCATTAAACATTAAACGTGAATATAGTAGATTGATGATTGTTTAGCATAGTAAGTCAATTATAATTAATGCTTCTGCTCGACGGTATTTATCGTCATCTTCTGACCAGTTAATGGTTAATTCACCAGTGGTATCAGTTTGCATAAAGTGAAACAAATAAATCCCCAGCTAAGTACATTGTCAAGAGAATATGTTTACTACAGGATATGAAGTGACAATCTTTTATTAAAATACTAGTTATTGCTTGTAACCGCTGTAGGTTATATAATTTATAATAGCTCCCTGTAACGGAGGTACTCAGGTAGAGTACCGTGTTTAAATTTTTCTCATGTGATGTTGGAGGGGAGGTGATAAGTCCCCCTTGTTTGTGTACTCTCTCTTATCGAATCTATGATCAGAATTCTGGCAAACCCCCACCTAGGCACGTGATGAATTCGATTAAAAAAAAGTTAGCTAACTTAAATTGATTTACGAGCTGCCAAAAATCAACCAATAAAAGTGTTTATGTTTCTGCGCATAAGAAAAATGCTAATTTCTTTGCAACAGTAATTGTAATATAGATCGTGGCCTGATATGCACATAATAAAGGGAAAAGCACGAAAAACTAACCATCCTGTCATGAACTTTTTCGAAGCCCAACTACGAATCACTTTGCAAAATGCCTGCAATGTGGAAATCTCTCGAGTCACCTTAAACAATCCTTCATTATACATGATAAATTCAACAGTGACTTAAAACGAACATAACAAATACACCTTCCAATCGCAGTAAATCACAAATTACACTCAACCAATTTTCTGCAGTATCGTATAATGTAGACTTACATTTATAATTTTCCTTTAAAATAATTCCAATAGAAACGATTCACCATAGAGGAAACGAACAACGTTAAAAACTGAACCGTAAACGCAGCTCTTAAATTGAACCCAACGATTAATCAGGGTTCCTCCGTTTAACTTTATTCACATTCAATTCAAGCGATGATCATATACATATGAATCAACAAATAATAAAAATAAAAATAGAATAACGTATATTTAATTTACGTGCATGCATTGCATAGGATAAGGAGGAGTAATTATGACCTCCTTGCCGGAGTGATGCGAGAGGGAGGCGGCGGATACAGCGGCGGGAGGAGAATCAGAAGGAGAAGAAGATTTGGAACATCCATTTTCTGAGATTGATAAGCTTCCCACAGGCAACGGTATAAGGCGTTCTAGATCTCTATCTTTCTCTCTCGTTCCCATCTTTTCCCCTTCCCTCAACCTTTTTCTCTTCTCTTTCACTCGCCAACCTCAATACAATAATAATACGTTAATTAATTACTCTTCTTTTTTATTTGATTATATTATAATATATTTGTTTAAAATGTGAAGCCTTAATTTTTTTTTTTTAGAAAAACAATAATGAAAAAAAAAGAGATAGTTAATTTCTAGCTTCCAATGACTAGAAAATTTATAAAATCAAACATTAATTTTAATCAAATATTTTGTAGCGTTCATAATTATTATTAACTTACTTACGTTTCATTTTTTTTTTCCAAAGAAAGAAAGGTCATATTCCGGTTCAAATATTGGATATTCCTTTATTAATAATGGACTAGTTGCCGTAGACGTGCAACGTTTCATATTTCTTTGCCAATCATATTAGCAAATAAAAATGCTACAAGTATTTCTTGATTTTAAAAGTTGATGTGGTCTAGTTCGATCTAATTTCGAAAAGAGTTATGAAATTATTAGAAATGGAATCATTGATTCCATATCCAACTACAGAATCAAATCGAAATTGTACCAATCGATTCTGGTTTCGTTCTGATCTGGTTCTTTATATTTAAAGTATAAAAATTAAAATTACTTATCAAATTGAAAAATAGATAAAATAGAGTATAGAAACCTAACTTATAGTTGTTGTAATATAACAATATAAAAAACAACTAAACAAGACAACAATAAAAAAAAAATCCACTCAAAAGACTCAATATCAACTAATAGCCAATAGGGACATAAAAAAAATAAATGATTAAAAATATATTGTAGGCGTAAAATCCAGATCAAATATTAATTTTTAAGAAAATTTATACAACAATATATATTAAAAAACTGTATGTAATATTTATAATCTAATTATCTTCAATAATCTTCGATGAAGTGATCTAGATTCTGATGATCGACCACTTTCGAAAACAAAGAAAAAATTTGAGTTCCTACGATAGATTGAATTAAAATTACATTTTTTTCATATTGGAGTTGCATTAAAACTATGAATTTTTGGAAAGTATTTATAAAATTATTTAAATTTAGATGTTATTACCCCTTATGTTTTGTTGAAGCATATGGAAAATGAAGTCAAATATATAGTGCATCTTAGTGCAATGCACAACGAAAAAGAACTTAGGGTAGCATCGGAAATCAAATTGAAAAGGAAACGAAGCCGAACCGACCAAGGGAAAAAATGCTCCCCCTACTCGATGTATTGAATACCGTTGAGATTAAGAAATATTTTTAAATATATTTGAATAATTTTATAGAAGTGCTTTGATCAATTATAATATCTTTTAGATTAAACTTTTATAGCAAGGAGCATTTAGCAAAGCAAAGTAAGGGAGGTTATGTTCGATCCATTTGTTATAAAATGTACAGTAAATTCATCACTAACGGTAACACAGTTGTTGAAGGCAATGCATAATTACGGCCATTAACTTAGTTTAATCCAAAAAGAATTGCTTAATATACAAACGGTGACCAATCTCATTGGTCATATGTTCGTAACTTCAAAAAAATTTTAGCAATCCATCGGAATCATTCCATACTATACATCTTTTTAAAATCAAAATCACACTCACAATTTTCAAGTCTTCTCATCATTTTCCACAAAGGATTTATCTATTTGTATAAAATTTTTATCGTAATTGTATACAGATGTCGTGGTGGCAACAAATAATTGACTGCAAAAACTGTTTTCTATCACTGTCATCTAATTCTATCAAAATTTAGGTAAGTTTTTCTGTACACATAACATGCTCCTTTCTCAAATGCCACACTGAAAACGACCTGAATATTCCAACAAGGGTATCGTACTCAATTTTTCTAGAATTGGACCTCGAATGCTAATGTCAAAAATAGTGACTCAAATTAGAAGTTCATTGCTTTTGACAAAACCTATTAACCACATCATCCATAGTACTCCACAAAAGTTGTGGCATGTCTATTATACGATATACTGCATCCAATTGCACGAAATTGGTGCACCTTTGTCTTCTTCCACTCAGCCATACGAGTCCAATAACCTCAACGTACCCCTTCTCAACAATATCGTTTAAGGAGAACAAACCCATTAAGAAATAATAATAATAAAAATAAAAGAACACTACTATGCCCCCGTTTGGCCTCCATTTTTTAGAAGTGAAAATGGTTGGAATAGTATTTTTTTGAAAAATGAGAGGGTTGAAAAAGAATGAAAAGTTTTTAATTTGCGTATAATATTATTTTATGGAAGATTGTGTGGATGAAAATGGGAAAAAAATGAAATGTAATGTAATGAAATTTAATGGGGGCCAAACAGGAGCTATATATCATTCCAATTTAGTTGGTGTTAAGTAATACTCAATTGAAAGGTGAAATTAAGTGATAAAATTAATTATATTTCTCATTTAATACTACCTTAGTACCACCTATACTAATGTTTTAATACTAATGATGTTAAAGAATATTATTGTTATTCTCACATAAATATTTATAGGCTATTCTAAACGTAAATGAATTTTGTTACGTTGCCCGACCATTGTGAGAGTCGATCACCCAGCTATCAAAAAAATTCGAGCACGGGAAATTTATATTAGCATTTTTACATACAGTATTAAATATGAAGTCCTCGATTGGAAGTGATTAATACATGAAGGATAAAATTGCAACTAAAAAAAAGTTCAAGAAGCACAAGTATATTAATGAGCAATAATCGAGTAATTTGGTGAGGACCGTGAGGAGAAGAAAGTTGATTTTTGTGAAAGAAGCACAGCACTGGTATTGACAGCAATGAAAGATTACGAGGTAATCGTTCGTAAAACTCTTGTACAGTGAAACATAACCGATTAATATTCCTATCAATTTAATTCCCGTATTCAATTCGTTGATTGAGTTTTTCTTCCATAATCCATTCTCCGTTTTAAAAAGGAGTATTTTGGGGGAGGCATAGGTTAGGGGCAAGTAAACTGTGAAAGCTAATTAAGAATGAAAGGAAAATAAAAGCAGGGATTGATATTACGGGAGTTTCCAGCGTTCGATACTAAAATGTTAAAGATCAGAAAGGTTTCACTTGCTGATGATGTTATGATTTTTCGTTTTTGTTGCTTTTATCTATTTCCATTTGGTTGTCAAAGCACGTTGTATTTATGTTGGTTAGTATCTGTTGTTGATTTCCCGGATTTTAGAACGGCAGATTCAGGTCATTGCTTAAAATTCAACAGTGATTGGTCAAGTCTTTTAGATCGTATGCCACATATTGAATTGATTGGTTCAGTTTTGGAATCCTTGGGCATCTAGTGCAGGTAGAATATTTTGCTGATCGCCGAGTGTGATGGTCGGCCATTACCAACCATACCATTTACTTGGTCTATCTATTAACGAAATCTATGCCATAAGAGCATTACGTGCTAAGAAAAAATCTAACGAAACTGTAGAATTCAAGGCCTGATGTAGAGTGTAGAAGGCTCGATTTAGCAAAATAAGAGATGTAAGGTTAAGGTTTCTCGGAGTTGATGAGTACTTCTAAAATATCACACAAACATTTCCTTTAACCCAAAGGAATCAAAACCCTGTTTAGTCAGGTTTCTAAATGGAAAATAGACTGGATTTGAATATTTTTTATGTTGTGCACTGAACAAATTGGTTTAAAGATGTGGGAAATAATTAAGCGCGCTGAAATTTAAGAAGAATAATTATGGAAGACAACTAAGGAACATATGATCCCTTAGACATCACATATAGGAGTAGCTAGCATTACAGAGTCTCAAAAAATTTCTACTTCAACTCGGAGACTACTTTAAAAACAGGTGACCAGTCCTAAATAAAACTAACTTATTGCTCCAGATATGACTTACAAACATATCAAGGCTTAAAACAATCTGCCTCAAATTTTTACTATAGAATGTGATTTTGAAACTCTAATACCCTTTATTCAACTGACTGTATTAAAACCTGTGAAACTGGAATAGAAAGGAATAAAATTGTAGGGAAACCTAAGTTAGGACTGAAAAGAAAACTAACAACTAATCATCCGACACTCTAAATTTACTGCTTTCCAAATCATGTCAAATG